TGAAGTAATATCCTTTCCTTGTATGTTCCTTTTTGTAGATATTTTGTTGTGTTTTACCATGTTTACTTAATGTGATACTAGCATGAGCTTTGACTTTGATATGCATGTCACAGATATATTCGTCAGTCACTTTTCTCTTGTATATTTCTTTTTTTCCTTTATTTATGATTCTACTGAGGTTTGCTTTTAAAGTGACATTGACACATTCCTATTGGAGACACACATCGTTCTAATGCATGATGCTGTGCACCACTGGAACAGTTAGATGAAAGCCCTAAGACAGATCTTAAGGTTTTTTTATTTATACAAAAAACTCAGAAGGACTTGTAGTGTATTTGTCAATCTTAGCATACAATGATAGAGAGTTGGAATGTTAAGTAACATTTCTAAAATTTGACTTACCTTATTCGACGTAATAAGCGCCAAGGGCGCTCTCAAAGTTAGAAATAGGGGCTCTTATTAGAATGTTATTTTGGTGGAAAAAAGATAAATTTTGTGGTTTATGCTGACAGCCTGAAATGTTTATGTACGACAGATATATTTTTCCAGAATTAAATGCCCATAATTAAGGGTGCATATAACACACGAGTGCGTATTATACAAGAATAAATAAGTTTTGTGTACATTGATCAATCGGAAGGGGTGCTAATTGGGATTGTTCACTAGCCAATATCTTAGCAAATATCGCCGTGGGCGCTTATTAAATCGAATACGGTAGGCACTTTTGGTTCGAGTCTTCTTTCTCTGAAGCTGGTAAATCAAAATCATACAGGTATATGTCATAGTGGCCATGTTCACTGCAATGTACGGCATTGAGGTGGTGCTTTGACCATGCCTAATGCTCTTGTATTCCATGTGTGCGGCTTGCTGTATAATGGTGGAACTATGTATATCACAGATATTCCAGAAATTAATGTTGCTAATCCAAACTTCAATAAATATCATTGCATCTACAGATTTTGGAATGACAGTAATTGAGAATAGATTTTCCACTGCTTTTAGGTAATGATTGTTCAGTCAATGCTTGTTTCTGGTGTTGTAGTACAATGCTAGATTTTCTGGGACGACTTTGTCCACGCCTGTAGACCTTTGGTACTGATAATGATTCTCCCACCCCGTATTTTCTCTATCTAAGTGGAAGTTATTTGTGACAAGACCAATACGTAAGAGAAAATCGTAACTGTGTATACAGGAGTATTGATTAAGAACTTATGTTCTGGTAATGACTATTTCATGGGTTGTGTACTGTTAAACTGGTGGCATTTTGTTGCTTGAGTGAATAATTGGATTCTGTACATGTAGTGACTGGGGAATCCTTGAAACTAGCACTTGCTCTTGATGATATCTCCCTATATTTGGGGAGGAAGAGTAACCCTTTTAAACACAGTTTGGTCTGTGTTTATGGAAAGGCTTTTGTGGCTTTTATTTCATCTGTGATCATGTCTATAATCGACATGAGAAAAATAACGATTTGAGGAAAACACATGTTTTCAGTTCTTTTTAATTAGGTAAGAGAGAATTGATTTTGCATCCTGTCTCTATGGATACTGGAATATGGAGTGGTTTTGAAAATGGTTAATAGAAATGACAAATTGATATGTGTATACTTTATTCTTTGCTGAACAAATTTTGAAAGGCCCCAGTCACCGCTGAGGCACAAAGCATCTACAGCCAGGATGTGATTCTGTATATTGAGCAATGTGATGCTACATTGCTCCATAAATGCATGTATTAGTAACTTTATGAATAAACAATTGTATAATTGCACTTCAACTTGTTTGTTGTATTATTGCGCTTCCAACTTGTAAAGGGGCGGTTGGGTAGCCTAGTGGTTAAAGCGTTCGCTCGTCACGCCGAAGACCCGGGTTCGATTCCCGACATCGGTACAATGTGTGAAGCCCATTTCTGGTGTCCCCCCTGTGATATTGCTGGAATATTGCTAAAAGCGGCGTAAAACCATACTCACTCACTCACTCCAACTTGTTAAGGGGGCACGGGTGGCTCAGTTGTCTAAAGCGCTGTGATTCGCTGTGCAGAGTTGCGTCCCTAGGACACGCCAGAAACCTATGATCATGGGTTCGAATCCCGGTTCGCCCCGATTATGTTTCTAGGTTTGTCAGCACCATACTCGTGCTCGTGGGTTTCACCGAAGTGGTAAACGTCTGATACCTGCGTCACTTCGGGCTTTCCTCCCACATAAAGCTGACACTCTGTGATATAACTGGAATACTGTTAAAGTGGCGTTAATCCCAACTCACTCACTCGCTCACTCCAACTTGTTTATCAAAGGTCTGATCAATATTGATTTGAATGTATTACTAATCCACAGGAAATAGGGTACATGAAGATTTTACAGCTCGGTGACAAGTAGTATACCTTATTTTGGTGTCTACATTTCACAACTGTAGCGGTACACGTGAGCATGCTCTGTTTAGGAAGATTTCCAAATGCATCAAACGACGCCTGCTCAAAAGTTGTTTGATCGGGATTAGTGTTCAAGGCCTTAGTATAGCTTTCAAAACGTTTTATGGGAGACAGGTGAAGGACATTTCAAAATTTGATGCATCAGTGACCAAAAAGTCAGAGATGCAGGATATGGTCACACCAACGAGGGCTGTCCCATAAGTTTCCGGGCTCAACATGAACGGATAGCCCAAACACAACCAAACTGCACCTGTTGCTAGAACAGTGTCTCTGCACGTGGATGACATGCAAAACATGAATCCCACGTGCTACAAGTTCCTATAAATTGCTATCAAACAGTATGACCCCCTCGCATTTGGAAAAAAACGGAGAAGACCGAATGTAGTCGTTATTAAGTATGTACATTTAAAAATGTTAACGCCAAAGCAAATTCATGATGACATGGTACAAACATTAGGTGACAATGCTCCTTCGTATAGTACGGTCAAACAGTGGTGTGCTGAATTTACAAGTGGCAGACGCAGCACTGAAGACGAACCACGGTCTGGTCGCCCTTGTGAAGTGACTACCCAAGATGAAGTTGCAGCTGTTCTTGATACAATAATGCAGGACAGACGAGTAACTGTTAGACAGTTAGCTACTGCACATGACATGAATAAAACATCAGTGGAACGAATAATCCATGAACATTTACACATGAACAAGGTGTCTGCCCGTTGGGTGCCCAGAATGTTGACTGAAGAACAAAAACGTCAGAGGGTCATGATTAGTCAACAGCTTCTGGAAGATTTTCGGAGAGATCCACGTGCTTTCATGGCTCATATTGTTACTCAGGATGAAACCTGGGTTCATTTTGACCCAGAGACAAAAAGTCAGAGCATGCAATGGAAGCATGTGACGTCACCAACACCCAAAAAATTCAAAAGCACATCTTCCAGTGATAAGGTCATGGCCTCCATAGATATAGTCGGATCATACAATGGACTCTTTTATATGTCTTTGGGGGGGGGGGAGGGGGAGGAGAGGAGGAGGAGAGAGAGAGAGCCTGGCCTGGCCGCATAACTTGAAAGCGGTGAAAGATATTTAATCCAAACTTGGTACATGTATTGACCAGTGGCTGAATGGTGGCTTTTGCTCTTGTTGGGACAGTCGCTGTTTGTCATCTTATGACTCATGTTAACACACCCTTCTTCTTAAGGGGGCGGTCGGGTAGCCTAGTGGTTAAAGCGTTCGCTCGTCACGCCGAAGACCCGGGTTCGATTCCCGACATGGGTACAACGTGTGAATCCCATTTCTGGTGTCCCCCGCCGTGATATTGCTGGAATATTGCTTAAAGCGGCGTAAAACCAAACTCACTAAAACACTTCTTCTTAAGGGACGTTTTGGACATACGTTCCACCAAGGCTACTTCCCTGCACTACATTAGGATGTGAAGCATTTGTCAGTGAACTGATCCTTATTCATTCACAGAAACATGCTACTGCCAATACCATCTTCCAACCACTTGCAAGAGCTGTATAGAAAGTATAAAACTTCAACCAGGGACCAGTCTTGAAACAGATTCTTTTGGCCGCGTAAAGTCACTGAAAATCGGTAACACCAGGTGTTCTTGAAAAGGGGGTCTATGCAACACGATCTGGTGCCTTTTCAGTCTAGGACGAGACTGCAATTAGTCTTGTGTAATTACAAGGTCTAGTCTGTAGTAATTAGCTTAATCCTCAACTGCTAGATTGATATGAACTGGCGGGCATGGTGTGGTATGGTGGCTAACAATGAAACAAACAAGAAAATGCTATTTGATACGGGTATCATAGTTGTGTTCTGGACCTAAAAATTGCAGTGTTACGCCGACAGTTTTCGGCCTAGTAATGTGTTGATAGCGTTTGTAATTGTTTGGGTGAGGTAAGGTGAAATTGGGTTTAACGTCGCGTCCAAGATTATTGCACTTATATAGCGACGTGCATGCACGTGTGTGTGGCTGCTTGTACTAGTCCGGACTGATGCAGATTTATAGTGCTAGCCCACTGAGATACCATGCCGCAGTTTAACATGAATACCCCACTCAGACACAGTATACTGACTCCGAACCGACCAGTCCTTGTTTTAGCCCCTTAGTGCCGAGCGCCAGACAGGGTAACAACAAGTACCATCTTTAAACGTCTTTGGTATGACGCGGCCGGGGATCGAACCCCGGACCTTCCGCTCTCCGGGCGGACGCTCTACCACTAGACCACGGACGCGGTCTGTAATTGTTTAGCCAAGTCAAAGTTCAAATATACTTTCTTTTGCCGGGCAGTTTACAACATTAAATTTCGATTTACGGAAAATTAATAAGTTTGGGAATTACTTGAATCACATTTGGTAGGACTATCAGTTGAGCTGTGGCAAGTTTTACAACTGGATCCACATGAACGAACCCATCGAACTGCTCAGGAAATCGGAAATAATATTAGCTGAATCACGTTCACAACCGATCCATATTCAACCTGCTCCATGCCATACAACAAGAAGCCATGCATGTTATGAAAAAAGTTTGAAGCAGCAAAGTTTCAATAAAATTCTCTTCTCTTTTTTTCAAGTCATCCCTCGGGGATTCTCGAGCTGAAAGAAGTTCCTCAGATGTATCCCAGCGGAATGCAGACGTAAGCGATGTGTACCAATTCCCCTCCTCCCCTGTGCGGAGGATCGTTAAGTCACCACTAAACAACCGCACTCAATGTTAATGTCTGTCAATCAATAGTCACATTCTGTATGCTGCATGAATATCGCAATGTACATGGCACGCTCTATGTGACAGATCACTAGCAGGAACGGGCTTGGTCTGGTTCGTGGACGGCTAACCAGTTACGTTTGTCGTAACGCTGATAACGATATACTGACACTTTTTGTTGAATCCCCTCCCATTCGCAATATAAAATTTTATTTTTTTTAAAGAAAAAGCTTTCAACGAAATTGACGTGAAGAACGCCAACAAAAATGTCTACAAGAAGAAATGTGATGTCTATTCAAAGACATATTCCTCCAGTTTGAGAAACTATCCCGCTATTCCAAAGAGGGGGGTAAGAGAAGGTCAAGTGTTACGGAAGTAAATTTGTGAAATAGCGTAGGATTCATTTCTGAAAATTACCATAACGTTTTTATTATTTCAACATAATCAGTAAATGCGCTATCGTGTCACAGAATTTTCTAGTCCATCACTTGTCTGTTTTGTTTACAGGATCCCGTCGCATGGCAGGAGAACCGGTGTGTTGCGTCAGGCAAATTGTTGAGTGGCGGGTGCTACCTGTAGGACAGGACTTGCCTTCCCTTTTAGCGAATACCTGATGTCATCACTGATTGTCAGTGATCCAGTCCTAAAATTGTCACAGGTATTTTGCCTTTTACGCCCAATCGAATCTGTTTCGACGGATAATCGAGACTGGTTATGCGCTGGTGTTTACGGTTTATTTTCACACATGAGTGATTATAGTGAGTGAGTATGGTTTTACGCCGCTTTTAGCAATATTCCATCAATATCGCGGCGGGGGACACCAGAAATGGGCTTGACACATTGTACCCATGTCGGGAATCGAACCCGGGTCTTTGGCGTGACGAGCGAACGCTTTAACCGCTAGGCTACCTGACCGCCCCTAGTGATTATATGAATAAGTATTTACATGTGATGACAGAGATTCTTGCGGGGCACGTTTTAAATTCTATGTGTGATTATAATAATAAAATTTTTGTATGTTCTGTAATGTTAAAGGGATACGGGTGGCCCAGTCGTCTAAGGCGCCGCGATTCGCCGTGCAGAGTTGCGTCCCTTGGACACGCCAGAAACCTATGATTGTGGGTTCGAATCCCGGTTCTCCCAAATTATGTTTCTAGGTTTGTCAGCACCATACCCGTGCTCGTGGGTTTCACCGAAGTGGTAAATGTCTGAGACCTGCATCACTTCGGGCTTTCCTCCCACATTAAGCTGACACGCCGTGTTATAACTGGAATTCTGTTAAAAGCGGCGTTAAACCCAACTCACTCACTGTAATGTTAAGCAAATGGGACGGATGTTGTGTTATGAAAAGTCTTTTGTTTGTTAACTTCACCTAATGAGATGTAATATTACTACTAATTCCGTAATGTATCATATAGGTAGATCATTACTGATATCCAAAATCGATTCAGTGATATCTGAAGATCGAATTATTCATATCAGTTAATCATTTATGGTCATATTTAATTACAGTAAACTACGGTTATAACGAACTCAAAGGAACCACTTATGTTAGTTCGTTATAACCGCAGATCGTTATATGCATATAAACAGCAAATATACAGCAAATGGCCGATACCAAAAATTAAGTTCGTTATATCTGTCAGTTCGTTATAAGCGTGTTCGTTATAAACGTAGTTTACTGTACATACAAAGACAATGTTTCAGTTTCTTTCATAGACTGTTCCTCTTTACCCCAATCATGTTCACCATAAACAACGACCTACATGAATAGTTCGCCATAAACAACGACCTACATGAATAGTTCACCATAAACAACTACCTTCATGAATAGTTCACCATAAACAGTACCCTACATGAATAGTGCACCATAAAGAACGACCTACATGAATAGTTCACCAAAAACAACGACCTATATGAATAGTTCACCATAAACAACGACCTACATGAATAGTTCACCATAAACAACGACCTACATGAATAGTTCACCAAAAACAACGACCTATATGAATAGTTCACCATAAACAACGACCTATATGAATAGTTCACCATAAACAACGACCTACATGAATAGTTCACCATAAACAACGGCCTACATGAATAGTTCACCATAAACAACTACCTTCATGAATAGTTCACCATAAACAGTACCCTACATGAATAGTGCACCATAAACAACGACCTACATGAATAGTTCACCAAAAACAACGACCTATATGAATAGTTCACCATAAACAACGACCTACATGAATAGTTCACCATAAACAACGACCTACTTGAATAGTTCACCATAAACAGTACTTTTGTTGTATTATATTCCGATCTTGGGATTTTAACCCTCATTGGCATAGCATTTCTCTTTTGAGTAGAGATATCTGTCGTTTACGTTATATATTTCCAAACAAACTTCGGTAAAATAATCCTACGACGTACACCATATATGTATTCTTTTGCTTCCTAGCATTCATTATATACGAAGGTCTCGCATGGCCTATTAATCTTTTTTCGTACACAAAAATACAAATGATGTATTCAGTGACTTCAAGTGACAACACATACGAAGTCCACTGTACCCAGACCTAAAATTGTTTTATTCCATGGCTGAATAATTCATTAATAATCCCACAGCACGGCTCTGACCAGAGTGGTGTTTGATTAAGAAGGAGTTTATCACAACCTGTGAACATGTTTCTGCACCAAACGACCTCGTCTGATCCCCTTGCCATCTGAACGTACCGAGTGAACCCAATCGGCTGTGGTCGACGACTGAGCCTCATTATACCAATCGCCCAACTGAAACTGGTGGACAAATACCAGTACTGAGTACTGAGGCATACAATATATGGACTGGCATGATTCTAGGTTGATCAGAGTGAGTGAGTGAGTTGGGTTTAACGTCGCTTTTAACAGTATTCCAGTTATATCACGGCGTGCCAGCTTAATGTGGGAGGAAAGCCCGAAGTGATGCAGGTCTAAGACGTTTACCACTTCAGTGAAACCCACGAGCACGGGTATGGTGCTGACAACCCTAGAAACATAATCGGGGCGAACCGGGATTCGAACCCATGATCATAGGTTTCTGGCGTGTCTTAGGGACGCAACTCTGCACAGCGAATCACGGCGCCTAAGACGACTGGGCCACCCGTGCCCCCAGGTTGATCAGAGTTCATGATGACTAATGATGACTTCATGTCTATATTTCACAATGGAATATCGATAATGATAGTATGGATCGATCACAAAATATTGATGCGTCATGTATTGCCTTTATGAAAAATCAAATTCAATATTCAGCTAAGTATTTTGGCAGTTTGTCCAACAGCCACCGAACCATATTATTTTCCCTTCCGCCCAGTCTTTACTGTTATGCTATAGTCGTAAATGAAGCAAGTCTAGATTTCCCATTGGTTCTGGTTATATATTTTCAGGTGAGGTGAGGTGAAATGGGGTTTAACCCCGCGTCCAAGATTATTGCACTTATATAGCGACGTGCATGTACGTGTGTGTGTTTGTGTGGCTGCTTGTACTAGTCCGGACTGATGCCGATTTATAGTGCTAGCTCACTGAGATACCATGCCGCAGTTTAACATGAATACCCCACTCAGACACAGTATACAGACTCCGAGCCAACCAGTCCTTGTTTTAGCCCCTTAATGCCGAGCGCCAGACAGGGTAACAACAAGTACCATCTTTTAACGTCTTTTGGTATGACGCGGCCGGGGATCGAACCCCGGACCTTCTGCTCTCCGGGCGGACGCTCTACCACTAGACCACGGAGGCGGTCCTATATATTTTCAGAGACTATTGGATACGATGACATGCATCAACCAAGTCAGCGATCCCGTTAGTCACTCTTACGACAAGCATAGTCGCCTTTTACGGCGAGCATGGGTTGCTGAAGACCTATTCTAACCCGGATCTTCACGGGTCGTACCTTATTGAAAAAAATGAACTCGTAAAGTAAGATCCAAATTCAAGCGCGTACACATATGGTGGTTTTGCATCTGATATTTAATAACGCGATATTTGCAAGAATAGCAATTTGGAACAGAACGAAACAACATGACCATTGGATAATATAAAGGTCAACGGCAGAGAATTATCAGTCTCAAAGATCTGTCGAAACAAAATCCCGATGGGCGTAAAATGGTAGAGAAATTTATATAAACGGATCATTGAAAATCAGTGATGACACCAGGGCCCACTTGCACAAAGCGATCTTAGCGCTAAGATGATCGTAACTCCCATACTTTAACATAGGCTTACAAAAGTCGTAGTGCTAAGATTGCTTTGTGCAAGTGGGTCCAGGTGTTCGTGAAAAGGGTAAGTATGTCCTGCTCGTCTTGCAGCACCCTCCATTCATATAAGATGGGACGAGTTCCTAGACTGAAGCAAATATAACAAGAAAACAGCGTTATCACCTTCCCCCGCCACTAACTCGAGGACGAAACTCTGTAAACAAATAATTTACGGGACCAGTTTTCGAACTCAGTCTTGAAAAGCATCTCTCAGATAAGCATGCAAACTTTCATTCATGTAACGTCAGAAGCTTCTGAGAAAACGCCCCAAATTTCAAGCAGGAAACAACACCTCCCGCCAGAACGTGCAATCTGCTTGTAGTGAGGTTCTATATTCCTGTCAGAAGAAGCAATCTGTTTGTCATGAGGTTCTATATTCCTGTCAGAAGGTGCAATCTGCTTGTCGTGAGGTTCTATATTCCTGTCAGAAGGTGCAATCTGCTTGTCGTGAGGTTCTATATTCCTGTCAGAAGGTGCAACCTGCTTGTCGTGAGGTTCTATATTCCTGTCAGAAGGTGCAATCTGCTTGTCGTGAGGTTCTACATTCCTGTCAGAAGAAGCAATCTGTTTGTCATGAGGTTCTATATTCCTGTCAGAAGGTGCAATCTGCTTGTCGTGAGGTTCTATATTCCTGTCAGAAGGTGCAATCTGCTTGTCGTGAGGTTCTATATTCCTGTCAGAAGGTGCAATCTGCTTGTCGTGAGGTTCTATATTCCTGTCAGAAGGTGCAATCTGCTTGTCGTGAGGTTCTATATTACTGTCAAGGTGCAATCTGCTTGTTCTGAGGTTCTATATTCCTGTCAGAAGGTGCAATCTCCTTGTCTTGAGGTTCTATATTCCTGTCAGAGGGTGCAGTCTGCTTGTCATGAGGTTCTATATTTCTGTCAGAAGGTGCAATCTGCTTGTCGTGAGGTTCTATATTTCTGTCAGAAGGTGCAATCTGCTTGTCGTGAGGTTCTATATTCCTCTCAGAAGGTGCAACCTGTTTGTCGTGAGGTTCTGTATTTCTGTCAGAAGGTGCAATCTGCTTGTCGTGAGGTTCTCTATTCCTCTCAGAAGGTGCAACCTGCTTGTCGTGAGGTTCTATATTCATGTCAGAAGGTGCAATCCGCTTGTCATGAGGTTCTTTATTCCTTTCGGAAAGCCCAATGTGCTTTGATTAGTGTCTATTTTCCTGCCAGGAAGAGCAATGGGCCAGTCGTGAGGTTCTTTTTGGTCGCTATGATATTCTCACATCATAAGTGGGCCATTGTTTGTGTGTTGGATAGACTCAGACAGTCCCAACAGGTTTGGTACAAGTCTCTATAAACTATCCAGTCTGTTTGTTTATCTGTCAATATAGTAATAACTCAGCTTACTCATAGAATATTATAAAACGACTGCATGCGTAAAAAAATAATACATGCTCCGCAAATTATTTCGATTCGCGTTGATTCTTGAACTTTAGTGAAAAAGGTTGTCAACAATGTGTTTGAACTCCACGACAGAAATCAACAAAGCCGGGTGCTTATTGTTCTAAGTCAGCTCCGTGATCCCATCTTATCAACACCTGACAAGTATGGCGAAGCCTCCTTACTGAGCGATAAACGTCACAGGAGGAGGCCGTCACTCCAGCAAACACGGATACAGGTTGGAATCTCGTGTTATCTCGTGACGTTTTACGTGATCTTCCGACTTGACCGTTTGACCCTACCTCCTCAAGGAACTGTACTCAGAGGACACCGACAGTACCAGGTGTAGCTCGTCACGTACATTGATTGATATATTGTGTAACGTCGCAGGATATGATGTATATACTGATAAGTGCATCGGTTGTTTTATATGGTTTCAAACTAAGATTTATTGGCATTGTTGAAGTCACGTCCGGTGTAGTGTAGTGTAGTGTACTATGTATTATTAAAATGGCAACCTTGAATGAAAAACCTTATAGGTAACCTATAAATACTTTATGGAGACCTCGTAGAGACCCCATGACCGCCATAATTATACAACTTTACATATTAAATTATCTTACAGCATATAGAATATTACGGCATTATTACGACTTTCAACCTTGTATATATGTATATAGAAAATATAAAGAGACATAATAATAAAATCTCTACTAAAAGCAGAGTCCATTGTACGATGCCGACTATAGCTCGAGCAAGTGTTTATGAACCTCCATCAAATACTGAGTGAGTGAGTGAGTTGGGTTTAACGCCGCTTTTAACAGTATTCCAGTTATATCACGGCGTGTCAGCTTAATGTGGGAGGTAGGCCCGAAGTGATGCAGGTCTCAGACGTTTACCACTTCGGTGAAACCCACGAACACGGGTATGGTACTGACAAACCTAGAAACATAATCGGGGCAAACCGGGATTCGAACCCACAATCATAGGTTTCTGGCGTGAGAGAATAAAGACTGGTCAGCTCGGAGTAAGTATACTGTGTCCGAGTAGGGTATACATTTTAAACTGCAGCATGGTATCTCACTATAAGTCCGGACTAGTAGCCACAAACACACTTTTCATGCTCGTCTCTATATAAGTGCAACAATCTTAAAAAGAGACGATGAAACCCACTTCACCTCGCCTCATGTGGTTTTAAAGGCAATGGGAATAAAAACAATTAAATTACACGCTGTGTAAAATCGCGAGCCTTAGGTGTGCCAGAATCCCGTGGTCTGTGGTTCGAATCTTAGATTTGCACTGATCATGATTCATGGTCTTGTCAGCACAAATCGCAGCACCATTTCACCATGTACTGAACCATTATGGTGACGTCACGCTATTGTTCCTGCAGGAATTCACCGGCCATTCTGAACATGCATTTTAAATAAGTAAACCTGATGCAAATTTAGATCATTATGCAAAATTATAGAGAAATTGTATATCAACTATAACATGGCTTAAGTCAGAGAAGTGACGGATTGTCATTATTTCTCCTTTACGTTAACGCCAAAGTGAGGCCTACGTCACTTCGGACTTTCCTGTCACATCAAGATGACACGCTGTCATAAAACGAAGTACTATGCAAAGCAGTGTTTTGACCTGGTGTCATCATTGATTTTCAGTGGTCCATTCATATAATTTTCACAGCTATTTTGGCCTACACGTCAACTGGCATTTGTTTCGGCGGATATTTTATTGCGTTGACATTTTTTATTTACATACGACTCCTGCTCAGAAATTGTTTGATCAAGGTTATAGTATTCAGGGCCTCAGTAAAGCTTTCAAAACGGGTTTATAGAAGACATTTTGCGGAGGACATTTCCAAATTTGATGCATAAGTGAAAATATTATGTCCAATGTAATTTCTTATTTTGACTTGTACATATGTTCCTGTGTTTTTTCACAAACAACAGTAGAAGAATTGCCTTGCCTTTGCGTGTGTTTGTGACGAGTGCAGGGCAGGATACGGTCACCTGTTCGCGAACACCTGGTATCATCACTATTTGATCATAAACAAGCGCTCATGGTCGTAATCGTAAAATCGACTCTGCTTTTAGCAGAGATATTTCATGAATATGGAAAGGGTTTTGTCACTTTTATTTACAGCAAGCATATGATTTGTCGGACAGCGGAAAATAGTGTAAATATTATACACTGACAGAAATACCGTGCATACAAATCGCGATACTTCCGTGCAAATAGTGACATTAATAAGTAACAGACTTACATGGAATATCGCTGTGATGAATAGTGAATACCAGTATATTAAACGTTAAGACCAAATACATTACATCACACTCACTGGCTGCAATTAGCTGATGGAAGTATTTCAGACCTTAATCTGTTAGAAGCATTTGAATACAAATGGTACATAAATATATTATATCAGGTCAATAAGTTAACTTATTAATACTGAAGTTGTGTGTGTCTGTGATGTGGGAAACGTAGAGATTCCAGGTCAAAATAGGTCCCAAATTTCATGTGGTGAGAGCCGAATTAAATGGATCTGGCTTGTGCGTCGGCGTGGCTAGTTGTACGTCATCGTGTCTTCGTGCTCATGCTTTCAGTCACTGGTTTGACTGGTAAGACACGACTATTTACAGGTCACTGTGATAGAACATCAGTAATGCTGGTTGTAGCGTTAAACTCCATTCACTCCTTGTCTGGTATCAGACAAGGTTATCTTCTAACCCCTCGTATTTATGACAACTATGTGTACAATGTGTATTGCGCCTTATCTGTGTCAGCTAAATGGGGCTTATTCAGTCCTACAATGAAGATAAATCTGGTTATGAATCCATGTGTATCCCTGGACTGAAATAATGGATTCAAGTGATATATGATGCGTTTTCCGGAGACAAAATGATCCTACACGTCGGATATCAACCACAGACAGAAAATTGATTACATGTAGGATTAACTGGTTATGCTTGGATTGCAAAAGCCTGAGGGAAGAGAGACGAGGAGAAGTAACGCCAAGATCTTCCTCCCGAGACTCTCGTGGTTTTTAAATACCAAGCATAGTCGAGGGGTAACGCGAACACTTGCTGTCGTCACTAATTTTCAGTGATCCATTCATATAATTTTCACTGCTATTTTGCCTTTAACCCGCAATGGAATTTTTTCGGCCGATAATCGAGATAATCTATTCTTTGGCGTTAACGTTATATATTATCTAGCTAAGATACCGACAAATAACGATCAAATATGTCAGAATAATTTAGAAATATCGATCAAATACCTGAGTGGTTTGTTCCCCAATACAAAAGTGGACTCGACCGGTGGTATTCAATTTCGCACCCCAAACTCAAATCACTTATGACAATGGGCAATATACTTCAGTTTATGATCAATTTAAGTGAAAAAAATATTTTATTACATACTTTAATAGTTTGTAACATTTCCAAACATTCAAAGCTTGACTTCAAACACTATACTTAGGCCAAACACTATACATAGGCCAAACACTATACTTAGTGGTATTAGGCCTAAGTGGCCAAACTGGAAGCCAGCTCGAAAAAAAATAAAGAAATGATATGTCCATACGGGTTCAAATCTCGGGATCGGGAAATATTTAAAAAAAAGTTATTTCGTGTGAGACAGGTTCCAATGTTGGTATAGCATTTGTGAAGACGTACCGGAGAAGAAACATGTTACTATAATGTTTGGAAAGAACTATAATAGAGGTTTTCAGGTCATGTTTAGACGCCTAGTTTAGCGGAGGAAAAAGGTATTTTAAAGTTTGTAAACAAGATCACGTGAGAACCGTTGAACCGTCAATAAGCATCATTAAAGTCATTTTAAGAAATATTAACTAAATAAATTGTATATTTCATATTCCATATCACGACTGACACCAATGTAGAGATCGAAGGTCGTCATAGACCAAGGGGGCCATTGTAATGTATTCGGTAGTATATTAATTACTTTGTTTTTTACTTTTTGTTTTGTTCTAATATTAATTGGTCGTAAAGTTATTTCGAAAAGATTGTCACTTAACAGATTGAGTTTATAAAATGTCTCGATTTAGGGGTGTAATATTCTCATTTGATACCTGTGATTTCCCTTTCGTCATGAAGTATTTTCGAAAGCCAATATACCTTTCACAGTTTCGTTTACATGAGTGTACGGTTAAAGAGAGTGTGTTTCATTAAAGTGAGTGAGTGAGTTGGGTTTAACGCCGCTTTTAACAGTATTCCAGTTATATCGCGGCGTGTCAGCTTAATGTGGGAAGAAAACCCGAAGTGATGCAGGTCTGAGACGTTTACCACTTCGGTGAAACCCACGAGCACGGGTATGGTGCTGACAAACCTAGAAACATAATCAGGGCGAACCGGGATGTGGTTTAATAAAACATGATTTAACACTGTCATTCATACCCCAATGTGGTACTGATGGAATATTGCAAAAAATGACATAAGACCAGCATCACTTTAAGCTTAACTCCCACATGAAGTTGAAACGTGATGTGACTGATATACTATTCAAAGTGACGTTAATCCCAACTGGATAAAGATATGAGACAAATGGTCACAATACAGGGAATAATTGGCACAATAATTTGAAGATATCCTCTTTTCCCGAAGGGGGCACAGGAGGCCCAGTCGTCTAAGGCGCCGCGATTCGCTTGCAGAGTTGCGTCCCTTGGGCACGCCAGAAACCTATAATTATGGGTTCGAATCCCGGCACGCCCCGATTATGTTTCTAAGGTTTGTCAGCACCATACCAATGCTCATGGGTTTCACCGAAGTGGTAAACGTCTGAGACCTGCATCACTTCGGGCTTTCCTCCCACATTAAGCTGATATAACTTGAAGACTGTTAAAAGCGGCGTTAAACCCAACTCACTCACTCATTCATTACTTACACTGGCACTTTGAAGTGTATGTTTATTTTCATTTATTGTTTATCTTATTACCTGAACAAAAAACAAACTGATAGCTACGTTGACATTTTGCTCTTGCGTTAATCATTCCACGGGCTATCATATATTCATTAACAATCTTGCTAAGTCGTCAAGTGAACCAACAAGTACGCAGGTAACTAATCTATACTGTTATAAAGATACATTATAAACTCTTTAGAGAATGGTCTTGAGGTCACGTGATGTCATGGCTATCGGCAATTCTCGCCTGTACTTAACCCGCGTCTGTCTGTTATCTCGAAGCGTTGTTGTTTAACGT